GTGTGTGTGTGTGTGTGTGTGTGTGTGTGTGTGTGTGTGTGTGTGTGTGTGTGTGTGTGTGTGTGTGTGTGTGTGTGTGTGTGTGTGTGTGTGTGTGTGTTGCACACTTTATTTTCAAGGGTCATTTAATCAACTTTCAGGACAAATGGGGCGGTGCGCATCCCTGCACTACCCTAACACCGCACCCCCCAATGAAGGAAGTCTCTGGGCTCCTTTTCGTTACATTTAATGATTATAATTCAGGAACTGTTTTTTTCTGTAAAATACGTTCATTTCAGAGACTAAATGTGTTAGTTTAGGGAAGGATTATCAGGCGTTTTAGAATTCAAGATTTGAACCAAAATATACTTGGACGAAAAGCGGCGGAATGAGACGTGTCTTGCTCTTCCGCGAATACGGCTTCAACGACTGCCTACACCTGAATGACGTGGCAGACCCAACTAACATCTGTATCGATAAGTCATTGGCCCTTGCACCGAGTGACCCTAAACCCGCTGTTACTCGCTGTTCACAAGCATGACTCGCCGAGGCGGCCGTCGACAGTTAGATCAATACTGAGCGTTGGCATGATGTTACAGTTGCCCTTGATATGCACGCTACACGTTTATTTATACATAATACAGGTTTTAAATCAATTATTATTAAGATATTTTATTTGTGTCAATATCATTTCTACGCAATGTTAAATTTGATGACAGCTAATATTTTTTGGTCCTATTAAAGAGCTTATTTTCAGTATTATTAATGTTTGGAGATAGCTGAGAAAATAGTTAGGCGAGGAGATATAAGGTACGTTAAGGCTATAAGACAAGATCATTGTGATTCGTTTACTTAATATTACAGTTTGTTGTATTCACTACATGTTTTTAAAATATTAAGAAGTTGATTAATGTGTGATAGCTATCAGGAAAGCAAATATTTCGTCTAAGATTAAACAAACAAAAGTGATGTATGTCAATAAATATTTCGGTGAAAAAATGTATGAAATACGCCACATAGACAATGATGGCGACAGTTATAATCTGCACCTGTGGATCTGGGTCGGGCGCAATAGACAAGTTGTCTGTCATCCTGCGGTGAAATTGACCAACATGTTACAAATCACAATATCTCTTTGTGTGATTGGCAGATTTATTGACAATTTTTATGGGTGGTTTATAACCTTTTTTCATCAAAAAAAGACCAACTGGTCGATGCAAAACGCATTGTTTATTGCAGTTGTTGGATATAATATGTATGGATGAGTGGTATGTACTGCCTATGCGTACTGAAATATACACGAGGATTTAGAGAACTGTTTAAATATCATGTCTAAAAACAACAACGTCTATGTGTAGAGTCTGTTTAATTTATTGCATGACAATATTTATCAACAGAGTATTCGTTTGATAACAGTGTTTATCTACTCTATAAACGTACTTGGTGATCCTTGAGAATGTAGGACGACGCGAAAATGTACAGACTCACATTTCATGGTGACTATCAGCTTGGCGGTAAACTGGCACAAGTCCTCGTCCCACGGGTAAATGTCGGTACAGTGTCTCCCTCCCTCCCTCCCTCACTTACTCACTCACTGATTAGCATAAACTGGCAGGGGTACTCGTCCCATGGTTAAATATCAGTACAGTGCATCCCTCCCTCGCTCCCCCCTCACTTACAAGCATAAACTGGTAGGGGTACTCACCCCATGGTTAAATGTCAGTCCAGTGCATCCCTCCCTTCCTCGCTCGCATAAACTGGCAGGGGTACTCGTCCCATGGTTAAATGTCAGTACAGTGCCTCTCATTCACTCGCTCGTTCCCTCCCTCCCTCACTCACTCACCCAACTCACTCACTAACTAGCATAAACTGGCAGGGGTACTCGTCCCATGGTTAAATGTCAATACAGTGCCTCTCATTCACTCGCTCGCTCCCTCCCTCCCTCCCTCCCTCTCTCACTAACGAGCATAAACTGGCAGGGGTACTCACCCCATGGTTAAATGTCAGTACAGTGCATCCCTCCCTTCCTCGCTCGCTCCCTCCCTCCCTCACTCACTAACTAGCATAAACTGGCAGGGGTACTCGTCCCATGGTTAAATGTCAGTACAGTGCCTCTCACTCACTCACTCACTCACTCACTCGCTCGTTCCCTCACTCACTCACTCACTCGTGTCGCCGAATACCCGAGTAAGGTTCGCCTATCTGTTTCTCGAATATGCTAAGAACGGAGATCAACCATTTACAACTTCGCTACCGCCCAGGGAATCGCCAGCTTACTCATTAACACAACCACACTCTCAAAACTGCCAACTTTATTTACGACACCAGATGAGAAACCCCAAACAAAAACAACTCTGTCTCTTCCTTTACATTAAATGTCTCTACAGAAATATCTCACAAACTTGCAAAACATCGTTACCTAACATTTCAAGACTGTATTGTACTGTATTCATGAACTGCTCAGGGAGAGATATTTTCAGCATATAAAAAATTCCTCCGTGTTTTCATGCAACAATTGTCCTTAAACTGTACTGACTGTGATACCATTTCCAGGGGACTTTCCGCCGTTGATCAAGCGTTTGTTACACGTACTGCTCATTAATATGTGACTAGGGGCGATGTGATCGGTCGGGGAAGGACATTAATGGGACACAAATGTGTGGAACTGAATCACAGCGAGTACAGCGTTCTCTGTATGTTGAACAAACCGGGGGAAATGTCAGGGAAGTTTAAAAACTCTCATTTAATCCAGACCTCTTCTATGCGGAAACCCCACATTCAGGACGGTTACTTCAGGGAATTTCTATGTATACATATGTTACACGCTAGTTGTGTGTTGAAGAAAAAGGGGACAATGTCAGGAAAGTTTAAAGCCTCAGTTAATCCAGACCCTTTCTGTCTGGAAACCCTGATTCCGGACACTTACTTCAGGGGATTTCTATACATACCCATGTTAAACGCTCCGTGTGTGTTGAAGAAAACGGGAAAAATGTCAGGCAAGTTTAGAAAACCTCATTTTGTCCAGACCTCTTCTGTCTGGAAACCCCTAATTCCGGACAGTTTCTTCAGGGGGTTTCTATATATAGGTATGTTACACGCTAGTTGTGTGTTGAAATCAAAACGGGGAAAATGTCAGTCAAGTTTAAAAGCACTCAGTTAATCCAGACCCCTTCTATCTGGAAACCCCAAATTCCCCGATAAGTATTTCAGGGCATTTCTATATATAGTAGGATTCGCTAATCGGGGAATGTGTTGTTCTGGCTGATTACACGACGAATATTTACAGCCGAGTTGTATGACTTCTACAGTTTATATCATAATATTATTAATTTATCACAAATGTGTGTACGACAACTATAAATGGAGATAAACAGCATTATTCTTGTCAGTGGACAAATGAACACCGCTTTCCATGTTATCTTGTTTGCTGTTGCTGCTGCTGCTGCTGCTGCTGCTGATGGGGAGGAGAATGACGACGAGGATGGTGATTGGAAGAAATGATATTTTGATGATGATGATGATGATGATGATGATGATGAGATGGGCTTCACACATTGTACCCATGTGGGGAATCGAATTCGGGTCTTAGCCACGGGTCTTTAACCACTAGGCTACTCCACCGCCCCTGACGACGATAACAATGGTGATTACGAGGAATATAATTTTGAAGTTGATAGTTACAATATCGCAAGTGATAAAGAACGACGCAGGTGTTAGTCTACAGGTGTGGGATGCAGGAGACGTTGTGTGCAGTGCTGCAGATGTCCCTCCCACACCTGAGACCCCGCTGCCCAAGGAGTCGTCGCCTCAACAATGACACCTGTAAGAATTTCACTGGCAAAAACGAATTAATTTCATTGTGTCCGAATTATTGAGGACCATATGTCGTTTGCCATCAACGATATGAATAAAGTGAGTGAGTATGGTTTTACGCCGCTTTTAGCAATATTCCAGCAACATCACGGCGGGGACACCAGAAATAGGCTTCACACATTGTACCCATGTGAGGAATCGAACCTGGGTCTTCGGCGTGACGGACGGACGCTTTAACCACTAGGCTACCCCACCGCCCCCGATATGATTAAGACTCCGCAATGTCATCATAGTGTTCCATTGGGATCAGTAACTAAGAGATGGGCGTTGGTTAGCTAAGTGGTTAAAGTTACCGTTCATCATGCCGAAGAACCAGGTTCGATTCCCCATATGCGTGAAACCCATTTCACGTGATGTTGCCGGGTCATTGCTAAAAGCGGCATAAAACAATACCCAATCACTCATTTACTAAGACATGTAAATATATGAATAGTATTGCCTGAGATGGGATATGATTGAGAGTTAAAAAGTCGAATCTCGATTTCTGAAAGCCTCGGTACAGGTTTTGCATAATAGTGATTCATTTTGGATAAAATCATTAATATTTGCCTTTCGGGTCCTCGGATTGATAGAGGCAGTGGGGTAGCCTAGTGGTTAAAGCGTTGGCTCGTCACGCCGAAGACCCGGGTTCGAATCCCCACATGGGTACAATTTGTGAAGCCCATTTCTGGTGTCCCCCGCCGTGATGTTGCTGGAATATTGCTTAAAGCGGCGTAAAACCAAATTCAGTCAGTCAGTCAGTCGGACTGATAATCTGACACAATATTTGCATCAGTTCTGGTACTCTGTCATCAACACGTTTACATAAACTGATGTGTTTAAATCTGTTAAATAGTGAGCCACGACATGACGCATCTCTTTTTTTAGGTGATGATTTTTTCAACTTCCATTATATTTGCCGTATTCCATTAGCGTGATTAGCCAAACACGCATGACTGGATTAAAAGGGGATAAGGTGCGCGAAATGCGAGTAGCTTCTGCTTTCGAAATGGAGCTGAGGGCACGTGGATGAAGACCCCCCGCAGGGTCTGGATTGCACGTGCACATTCATCACCCTAGCAACGGGAGGAGGGGGCAGATGCGGTAAAAATGAGGTGTAACAGGCGGATGCCGAGAGTGTATATCTACATATGTCTGACTGCTGGGAGACCACATTCAGCCGCGCGATGAAAATGTCAATAGTCCCTTCAACAGATACCTGCATTGTGCAGTTTTATACACACGTGTATTGACTCGGCGCGATATACCACCTTGAAGCTCCATTCACAATTCCAGCATTAACTAATCCAGGAGAGAGAGAGAAGGGGAGAGAGAAGGATAGAGAGACGAAAAAAGAGAACTAAATGACCCCCTACTGCAACGGCGGTCAGTTGAGCTCGAACCAAACAGAGGCGAAGAGTGGGAGGCGGGCAGTGTGTTGTCAAGCCCAACCGGAAGCTAAGATATGGATGGCAGGGTTAAGGAGGTGAGAGGACCAGCGGACTGTCCAACCGGACTCAGAGCTGACCGCCACACCGCTTTCGATTAGTTGGAACGTGACGTAAGCAGACCACGCTCCACTACAGGCGGCCTGAGCCCCGAGGATAGGATCTTGACTGTAGCGGAGCGGGTGGGCCGCGATACATAGTTCAGGGTAGCGAGCGCCCGACACCAAACGCCTAGCGAGGGGGACGGTCGCTCGACGGTGTACCGTGAGCTCGGAAAAGCAGGGAGGGGCAGGTCGGAAAAAGGCATGGCCTGTTATAGACTTACATATTTCAACGTGAGAGGGAGGGCGGAATTGACTCGTCTGTGCTTTGCGGCAGCGGGGGTCAACTTTGACGATGTGAGAATTCCCAATAGTGAATGGGCGGCGATGAAATCGAGTAAGTATTTTAATTTTCTACTACAATCTCCGTCAGTTTTTTTTTCTCAATTCAGGTGTTTACTGATGTTTATTATTGTTTTCGTTTTTTATCACCTGGAAAAATTCACCGTGCATTGCAAAGCCGGCTTGAGTGGACCCGGCGATGTCATGAAGGGGTCACAGGGTGCAAGTAAACGATCCCAGTGATCGCGTCGAGGGGACAAGAGACGTTTGAGACTGGGGACGATCACAAGTATGTTATATGACCCCAGAGTCAGTCACGCACCGCCGGCCATCAATAACGTCCAAAATGAGCTTACTAACACTCTCCCATTGTCGATACAACGATGTATAGTGTTAACCGCTAAGGTTCCTTCTGTGGAAAATATTTCGTCTCTTGTCTGTCTCTCACAATGAAATATGATATATTCTTTTCACGATTTTTGTCGTTGAAAAGTAGTGTTTAGTTATTGAAGCGGGCGCAAACGAATAACCCCCGTTCATCCTATTCACCGTGAATAGAACACTTCTCCGGCCTTGAGTATAATATCAGCCATTTATTATTTTTTGGAGGGAATTGTGTACTGTTGGAGATTTACAAACTCATGCGTACGTTTCGGCGTTGTCAGTGAAGTACAAACTTATTTGCAAATTACAAAACCTTTCACTACCTGTTCACAATACTCTGTGAACATTAAATTGAAATATGCCATTCAAGTATCGTCCATAATCGGGAGGCTTAAGTATTTAGCATCTTACATAAACTAGTCTTTTTCATCAGGTCGAGGTGTGACATTTTCGTACCCGAAGTTTATCAATGGAATGGTCACGAGTGTTACTGGAAGTCAAAGTGTGCAATATTAATGATTTTAATGTAAAACTGTTGGGAAACGTAAATGAACGTTCGAGTCAATATGTACACGTGGATGCCGTACACCCCCCCCCCCCTCTCTCTCTCTCTCTCTCTCTCTCTCTCTCTCTCTCTCTCTCTCTCTCTCTCTCTCTCTCTCTCTCTCTCTCTCTCTCTCTCTCTCTCTCTCTTATCAATGTATAGTTTACTTACAAGCCTTTGAATAAGGAATCAGTGAAAAACATGAGAAACTCAGTGGTGCAGTGGGTAGAGCGTCAGCCTGGAGAGCGGAAGGTCCGTGGTTCCATCCCCGGTCGCGACATACCAAAGACGTTCAATGCTGGTACTCTTTGTTATCCCGTCTGGCGCACGGCATTAAGGGTATAAAACAATAATTGATTGGCTCGGAGTCAGAACACTGCGTTTGAGAAGGGTATCTATGTAAAACTGTGACACGGCATCTCATTGGGCAAGAACTAGATAGTTCTGCGCTCACACGCACGCACGCACGCACACGCGCACGCACACTTTGCTGTGTAAGTGCAACAATCTGGAACGCTATGTTAATCCAATTTAACTTCACCTCTGCCGTAAAACGATACAGTACTGTCATCCTGCGGAAGGCATTACACTATCAAGCATTCATTTTGAGTCGTAATTCTTTGTTTGCCTTTTAATAAGAGGAAATGCCTCGAATATTTCCTGCTACCATTTAGCTATAACTATAGGCTCACTATTTATGATAGCGCAAATCACCACCTTTAGTTCCACGTTAGCGCGTCCGTCGTGATATGCATATAAATAGTGCGTTTATACGCTTGATGGTTTTAATGTGGCGTTTGTTTAATAATGTGTTTCATGATGGCCCGACCGTGTACGTATTAAGGTTGTAATATAATGCTTTTTATCTGTCTTGTTATAAAATAATGCAAACATTTCGATCGCTTGTATAGATATAACAAAAGATCAGTTAATATTTTAAGGCTTTGCAGGTTTTCATATTAGCCAGTGGTTAGTAGAGAGTGAGTGAGTATGAGTTTTACGCCGCATTTAGCGATGCTCCAGCAATATCACGGGGGTGGGGGTGGGATGGGGTTCACGCATTAAACCAACGAGGGAATGGAACCCGGGTCTTCAGCGTGACAAGCATACGCTTTAACCACCCGGCTACCCCATCGCCCCGGTTACGTACAGATTCTCAGAACTTGCTCTCTCTTCCGATCTGTATTTTGACTGACGAAAGGAGGCCTTGTCAGACGCCACTGTTTCCTTCAACTGTCGGGCCGATGTGGTAGCCTAGGGGTTAAAGCGTTCGCTCGTCACGCCGAAGACCTGGGTTCGATTCCCCACATGGGTACAATGTGTGAAGCCCATTTCTGGTGGCCCCCGCTGTGATATTGCTGGAATATTGTTAAAAGCGGCGTAAAACCAAACTTACTCCTTCAACTGTCGACGAAGACTAATTTTGTATTTCCTCATGGTACAATGTGTGACGTGTTTGAGTGACGTAATAGCACGTGAATACTGCTCAATGTGACGTAAAACCTTTCACACTCACTCACATGACCAGTTTGGGAGTGAGTGAATATGTTTTTAAGCCGATTTTAGCCATATATGCGTGGGGGGCACCAGAAATAGGCTCCACACATTGCGACCATGTGAGGATTCGAACCCGGTTCTTCGGCGTGGCGAGCGATCGCTTTAACCACTGGGCTACCCTACCGCCACCACTGGTTAGGAATGTTAGATATAAGTCCAGACTGCTTGTAAAAGACAACAGGACGAGTGAGTGAGTGTGGTTGTTTTACGCGCTTTTAGCAATATTCTAGCAACATCACGGCGATGGACACCAGAAATGGGCTTCACATTGTGCCCATGTGAGGAATCGAACCTGGGTCTTCCGCGTGACGAGCGAACGCTTTACCCACCGCATACGTAGGACGGAATCATAGGAGGAGTGAGTTTAGTTTTATGCCGCTTTTAGCAATATTCCAGCAATATCACGGCGGGGGACACCAGAAATGAGCGTCACACATTGTACTCATGTGGGGAATCGAACCCGGGTCTTCAGCGTGACGAGCGAACGCTTTAACCACTAGGTTACCACACCCACCCAGAATCGCATTAAGGCGAAGTAGAAACAAAAGCACCTTGTGCACGAACTTGTCCCATGACCTAAGCACCTATCACAATGCCACATATGGCGCTGATTTAGTGATTTACGGTAAATGCGTTCGACGAGTTGACGAACAGCTGGTGACGAACAGCTGGTGACAAACACCTACTATCGGTATCAAAACCAGTGACATCCATGCAATAGTCACCTCATCACTCAGTGCCGTCACGTTACGATATTGAGTCACTGTCTTCCACTACGTAACCCTAACCCTGAAAACTCCACCTCGTGCCGAGAGCGGAAGGTCGCGGGTTCGATCCCCGACCGCGTCATACCAAAAGACGTTAAAATATGGTACTTTTTGGTCCCTGCCTGGCGCTCGGCATTAATGGTTACATCAAGGACTGGTCGGCTCTGAGTCAGTATAATGTGTCTGAGTGGGTTATTCATGCTTCACTGCGGCATGGTATCTCAGTGGGCTAGCACTATAAAACCAGCTTCAGTCTGGGCTAGTACAAGCAGCAGCACATACACATACATACGCATGCTCGTCGTCATATGAGAGAAATATGCTCAAGCACGACGTTAAACCCAATTTCACCTCACCTCCACCAAGTCAATGCGCTGTCGATCCGTGTCAGGTAGACTTTGTACCGGGCTTGAACGTGAACATACTTACGCCGCGTGGCCTCGCGTACTTGCTGTCGCTTGTCTTCGTACTAAAGCTCATTGTTCGTACTGACTCTCACCGTTTCGGTGCAAAGTACTCAGTATTCAGGCCTTTAAAAACAGTTTATTTATTTTGGGGGACCAAGAGCCATACCACAATCATTCAACATTACAACCCGACAAAGCAAGGGTAGAACTCTACTTCCACGTTCCAACTTTCATTTTAGCATATCTCTCCACCTGCGCTCGTAAACCAGGTATTCAATATTGAATCTATTCGAAAGTTATGGCCGGTCTTATACAAGATTCGATAATATCGCCATTAATGGGCAATTATCGGTCCAGCACGTCACTGTCACCTCCTAATCAGTATCAAATTTAAGAGCAAGGGTTTCTCTATTATCTGCATTATGCGCGTTGTATGTTTCCGCAATCGATATATTAGACAGTCATTGCTCGAATTGTGTATAATTTTACTATGAATTATAAAATTGGATACATTATTGAACGAAATAAAGGACCGGGAACTGCGTGTATCCGAATCTCGTTAAGTTGACATGTGTTTGATGGTAAATTTTCCACTTAATAAATATTTGATGACAATTTAAAGTTGGTTCATTGGAAAACTCCTTATTTTAAGCCAACTAGCCGTATGAGAAACGAGAAATTGATTCACGGTTATTAGAAAGCGAGACATTAAAAGGGCCGAAGCTTCGAGAAACCTTTTATGGGTAATATTGAACGAAAGTAGTTTTTTTCACCGAAGATACTGTACTGTATTTTTATTCCGTCGGCTTTGAATGTGTTTTGTACAGTGTACGCTGAATTTGTTCATGAAATGTACCATGGTAGGGACTCTTTGGAGGATGTAGTCTTGATGAACTTAATTCTTTACGACCATGTCAAAGATGCACTACTGGCGATAAAACTTAAAAATGTAAATAATGATAACGATTTGAGTTTTGATTTATTTCACTAGAAATAAAATTGGAGAAATATTGGTATTACCAGCACGAATAGCGGTTTATTAGCTAAATATTACTCAGTCGATGAGTTCGCTTTATACATACTTTTTCCTTATCTGCTTCTACTAATATTGGTGATGATGATGGTGATGATGATGATGATGTAGAAGATGATTCTCTGAATGTATGATTGTGTTCCTTACGACTGATCTACATATGCCATTTATAACATGGGTGGGTATTTATTAACATCACTGTACATAGTGTATGAGGAGTGATTGAGTTTAGTTTTGCGCCGCACTCAGCAATATTCCAACTATATGGCGGCGCCCTGTAAATAATCGAGTCTGGATCAGACAGTCCAGTGATCAACAGCATGAGCTTCGATCTGCGCAATTGGGAACCGATGACATGTGTCA